CCTCCGAATTGCAGGAAAAGAGGAACAAACGCGGAGGAACTGAGACTTTTCGAACTCCAGTCATTCAAAGTGGCCCTCAAAAGTAAGTTTGCCTCCATCCCCCCGGGGGAGTTGGGATGGAGAAGCCATCCCTTCGGAAAGAGGTACAGTACTCGCGTCATGAATCATGTGCTAAACTTTACTGGGATCCCCCAGACTGTTGAATTCTACCCTAACACCCTTGAGACACAATTTAAGATATGAAAGGGTAATGTCTGGAGACAACCCAGTAAACGCCCAAAGAAAATAAAATTAAATGAAATTTCATTCATGCCCTAATAGTATGAATGTTTACATTTAAGTTCATCGGTGTTTCATTGCTTCAGGTTCATTATGCACTGTTCTGTGAACCTCATCTTGAGGTCACTGGCCTGAGCCCTTTTGAAGTTGTATTCAATTATCAGAGTTCCTAGAATGCACATGCCAAAAAAAAAAAAAATCATGTAAATCTGAAGAATTCTGCTTATTGATACTGAACTATGATGAAACACATTCTTAAAATTGCCCAGTGGATCTTATAATCCAGTTTGTATTATTGGCATTCTCTTTCCTATTAGTATCCAATTCATATTGCAAGTATTCTGTATCCACAGTAAAATATGGAATTCATTCATTTACTTTTATTTGTTCCTAAAATATATGCAAAACCATTTGGATTAATCGTGCATTGTCAGCTACACTTACTTTTACCTCTGTGTTGTCCTGACATCTGAATAAAAAGCCAAAACTTTTAGCCCTGTCACTCAGCTGACCTAGATCTGCTTTGACAAAAAAAAAAGGCGTTTTGAGCAGAATGAACAAAAAGGGAAAAGGACTGGTTTTTAAACCTTTTTACAGTTTTTATGTGGAACCACAAATTTTCAAAGCTTGTACTAAACTTGTGTCAACTCTCAAATGCAAGTCAGAGATATAACTTTTGAAAGGAAGAAAGAGAAAACCCATCACAAAACTATCACCATCTAAGCAAATAATAGCACATTATAGAACAATTTCCCATAGTTTCTGCTAAAATGTTACTCCTAAAAGTTTTTCTGATAAAAAGTGATGACATGATCACTAAGTTTCTTCTCAATACATTATAGATAAGTATGAATACTAGGAAGGAACACTAAGAGAATGTTTATAGGAAATATTTTTTATTTACATGTACATTAAAATTGCAATATTCTACAGATATAAACTTGTCTTATCACAATAGTGCTAAATAAAGAAAATTGGTTTGTGGTCACACAGGTGTTAAATGTTTTCCCCCAATATTGCAGCCACTGTGTTTTGTCAAAAGGGTTGTTTCAATGTTTCTTGTTTCCTCTTAGTAATTGTTATCCTAGAAATGAAAAGAAACAAACCAAATTTCCCATGGTAGGCTACTGTAGTACTGTACAATTCTTTATTTAGGTCTGTATCTGATTGTCGGGGAAGATCTCTGAGTGTATAAATTACTCCCTGGGAATAAGTAAAGCTACAGAAAAAACAGGTACACCATAGTAGCTTTGAAAGGGGTTGAAAACTATTATCAGTTTGAGTTTTTTTAAACTATTGTGGCTTGTTACGTAATCTGGGAAATGCTTTAACTCTTTAGGTCTTTTAATTAAAAACTAATAGTTTACAAAGCGATTTTCAAATTACATAGCATTTTCCTACACACTCATTTTATCCTCATAATAATCATATGATGAAGGTGAGAAAGGAATAAGGCTTTAATTTTATATGAGAAAATCATTCCAATTAGTTAGGTCACACATCCCGGGATTGGAAACAGGAGACAACTTGAGTTCAGGGGCCTGATGGACATCCGTTTTAGATTCTCCCAGAAGCATACACTGAAAAGAAGCCAGGAATACAAAAATTTATGGAGAAAGGGGAGGTATAATACCTGTGACAGAAAACGGACAAAAGCAGGACTGGAGCTCCAGAGCAAAGATTGTTTCTTAAAGAAGTTCCCCCATTGAGTGGAAACACTTAGGCCTTGCTCAGTCATTGAGAAAGCATAGGATGAAAACCTGAAGCTGACTCTGAAGACACAAACAGCTGAGGACTGTTAGCTCATCACACTCCTTGCAGCTGATGAACAAGTCCTTTCTTGAAGGAGGGTCTGATTGACACGTCAGCACAGCTGCCACAGTTTACCTTGCGTGCCACATGGATCTACTTCATATTTGGGAAACAGCTCCTCCAGGGCTCTGGTGGGCCTCTCTTCCTGAGGGGAAATTTCGAAGAAGTGGGTTAGAGGGATAAACTGCTCCCGGGAGCTACAGCTGGTCTCATGGCCACAACTGATACTCATCATCTCCCCTGTCATCATCTATCTGTTCTCATGTCTGTTACTCTCTGCTGGCCTTAGTGGGTCATCTGGTGGTGTTTCCCAAACCATCACTCCTGAGGGGTCTGAACTCTTGGTAACGTTACCTGTGTATAGCCTCCATTACTACATCGCCACATTTGCCACCATTAGGCAAGAGCTACCAAGAGGCACCCAGTAGGTCACCTGAACTCGATACACGTTCCTCCCTGCTCCATCATGTAACAGCAGCCCTGCCTCCGCCTGCTGATCAGGGTCAATCGCCCCTGACAAGAGGGCGATTCCTCTTCTTGCCTGCCTGTTCCTGGCCACACAGAGCCCAAAGTGTCTAAGTGGCAACTGTAGCTTATAGTTCAACGGGGCCTTTGCTTTCCCCTGGCAAGAATATGCCCATTTTAGGGGCTAAGACCTCTAAACCCACAGAATCCAGAGCCATTTCAGTGATTACCCCCAGTAGATCACTGAAAGTGATGGTGAGGCTATTCCTGCTTCCCCCCCCTTGGTCCCTGGCCATGTGTTATTCCTCTTGGGGGCACATGCCTTAAATATGCATTTATACATGCCCTAGAGGCTAGAGGATAGTACCCCCATCCTTGCAGGGTTGCTTCTGATCTGGTGCTTCAGCTGTGCTTTCAGCAAAACATGCCAACACTCTATTTAGCCAACAGCTTCTAGAGGATACAGCATAGGACATGACCAATGGACCTGTAAAGTGGGTTTCCTTGTTGGATACTAAGTTGTTTAATGTCTGTAGAACAGCCATTCTGTAAATGTCCTGATAGTGGTACTGGCTAAGGCTCTATGGGCAGGAAAGACAAACCCATACCCAGATTAAGTATCTGTTCCTATGAGAAAAATTACTGGTTCTTCCAGGATGAAAGGACCATTCTTATGTAGACCCCATTTGCTACCAAGTTAAGCTTATCCTTAAGGAATAATGCCATGCTGGAGGTTCAGTGTTGTCTGTTGTTGGCAGGTTGAACATTTAAAGCAGGCATTCACTAGATTGACCTTCATAAGTGGGAGTCCATGTTTTCTGACCCATACCAAGCCTCCATCTCTGCAACTGTGGTCATATCATCTATTTGCCTATCATGCCAGTGAATGTCAACTGGTCTAGTTATTTTGTCCACTTGGTTATTTGGTGTCTATGCCATATATGTGCTTTCAGTGAGCATTACTATACGATACAAAAGTCTTCACACCTTGTGCCCACTCTCATATGTCCATCTACATGTCTCTTCCCCAGGCCTCCTTGTCTCTAAGAGAAAATTTTAATTTTTCTCCTTCCAGGCTACTGATCACTCCCCATTTTCCATGAGTCTATTGTACATTTTGATTTTAGGCCACTTCTTTTGCGCAAAGTGAATGACCTCCTGAAGGTCTGCCCATTGGGAAGATTTGTCTTTCACACAGTGTCTTATTAATGTTTTTCACAGCCTCCCCTAAATAAAGCTATAATGCAGACAGCATCCACTTTTGGTTTTCACCTGCGTACTGAATTAACCTTCCCATAACCCAAGCTAGGAGTTTTTTTTTCCTCCTTCAGCTGGTTGAATGGGAGGCCTATGTGGTCATTCGTGTGAGCTGAAGAAGAACACTGCTACATAATTGATGGGGCGTGGTGGATGCCACGGGGCTCTGGGCCCACTGCTCATGCCACTAGCTGTGTCCATGCGTCCTACTTATGCTCAGTCCTAGATGTACCATCCATCTTATGATGGATTGCTACTGGGCCCATCTTACTTTAGATCTTGTTTCCAACTCATGATGGACAGCTCCAGACTCGTGGGCACTTGGTATCCCAACGTCAAGCATTCCAGCTCTATTAGGGCCCACTAGCATGCTTGGAGTTGTGTTACAGAAGGTGTATTATTCTATGCTGCAGATAGTGTGACCTTGCT